ACACAAGCAGGGGAAGTGGGAGAGGGAGAAGCAGGCTTCCCGCCGAGCAGGGAGCCCGATGCGGGGCTCGATCCCAGGACGCTGGGATCATGACCTGAGCCGAAGGCAGACGCTTAACGACTGAGCCACCCAGGCGCCCCATCATAGAATATTCTAACATGAATCAAAAGCAAATTAAATGTATTGATTGTACTGAAAATATCATTGATAATAAAAGCAAGCATGAAATCACAGGCAAAAAGTAAATTTCTCTATGGAGGTAGCCAGGCTCAATAGTTTCAAAAGAAATTATAAACACTTGTTTACAAAAACATGAGTAGTATAATCTGCAATAAAAAACAAAACACAAATCCGTGTTTTTCCCCACTGAAGTCATGTGCATACTCACACTACCTCAAATTATTATAGACATGAACTTGTGAACCAGAGCTAAAGAATGTCCATTACCACATGCACTTGACAGCACCCAGAAAACAGACAGGACAACAGCCATGCGCTTCCAGGCACAGGATTAACTAAACCACAATTCAAAACATAAAATACAATTAAGTTGGCTCATTCTTTAGGTTTTGGTAGAAAAATGAAGCACATGTTGCAATAAAACTGATCTGTGAAGGCCTTGTGATTGGATGTATTTTCAAGAAAACCACAGGCAAATTATAATAGCAACCTCTGTGACCCCTAAGACACTACCTTTTAAAATTCCATTTCAAAGGTTTTAGAAGTCCACGCAACAGAAGAGCTGAGTACCAAGAACAAGTCCGTCTAGCACCCGGATTATAAGCCCCACTCCTGACACTAGCACTAACAGGAAGTGCCTGCCATAAAATGAAAATGTCACTGCAAGTTGGGAATTACAGGTGAAATCTCAGTAACTCAGGAAGGCCTCTGACAGATGATAACCTTAGCAAGAATCTAGCAGACAAGTGAGCCAAGAAAGATAGGACAAGGAGGGAAGATGCATTTTGGACAGAGTCTAGCAGAGGCAAAAGGGGGCAGACCCCAAACACAGGAGAGGCAGAAAGCCAGCGCGAGCATGGTTGGGGCAGAGAGGTAACCAAACACTTGATAAGTGAAGGATACAGAACAAACTGATAAACTACGGAATGTGAATTTTTTCCTGAAAGCAAAGGGGATGCACTGGCAGATATCTGAGTAGGAGATTAACAGGGTTACGTTTCTGACAATTCAGTTTGGCAAAACAGAGCATAAGAACATAGCACTCACACATCACAGTGACTGGATGCACATGCGGAATCACCAAGAAAGGAACGACTCTAAGCCTAAACTCTACAGCAACTCCATCCAGCAGAACTTTCTGTGATGCCGGGAATAGTCTATGCTGTCTTACACGGCGGCCACTATGCACCTGAAATGTGGCGAGCTAGGTGGCCAAGGAACTGGGTCTGTGCTTCCATTTAACTGTAATTAATTTATAATGAAGTAGCCACATTTTGCTAGTGGCCCCCCCCCCCAGCGTAACCCCCAGGTTTTGGGGAGAGATGCTGAACTCAATCTTAGGCAGTATGTAAGGGGTCTGAGGACAGCCCCTGTTAAACAGCTAAATAGGAGTCTGGAGCTCCAGAAAGTGGTTGAAGGTACTTCTATCACCCAGAGAATCAACTGAGTAGAAAAAAACAAAGAAACTGAAGGGAAAAGAAGTCGAAGAAGTTGAGGAAACACTGAAACACAGAGACAAAGAAGAGCCCATGGAGGAAACAGAAAGAGAAGCCCAACAGCAAAGGGAAATTCATGAGAAAGGCACCTGCAAAGGTCACAGGGGAAGGAAGTTTGGGAAGAGGAAGGGCAACCATGCAGATGGCCACGGAGGGCCAGGCTTGCTGGGGGGGGGCCTGTGGGGGTGCCCCCTCCGGAAGAGTAGGGTGGGGCGTGACCAGAGGCAGGGGAAACAGAGGGGCACAGTCCTCAGCTCTACCTGTAACACTTCTGAACAGCACAAATCCATCGATGACACACTAACCTACTACCTGTCAACTCGCATTCTAAGTCAGCCAGGGTTAAAGCCTACCAGGGCCCAGTGGCCACCCTCACGTGTCCACGTAAGTGCCCACGTTTCTGGGTTTAGTTCTCTGGATACTGGGACACTGCCTTCTTGTTTTCCGTCTCACAATACAACCATGTAGCATTTATTCATAGTAAAAATAGTGAATACGTTTTCTTAAGGAAAAAATAAATTTATATCCAAGTATTTATTCAGAGTCCCTAGTCCAATGGCAGGATCTACAAATTTTCTCTCATAAAAGGAGCTGGCTGGCCTGGGTGGCTCAGTAGGTTAAGCGTTTGCCTTCGGCTCAGGTCATGATCCCAGGGTCCTGGGATGGAGCCCCGCATCGGGCTCCCTGCTCAGTGGGGAGTCTGCTTCTCCCTCTCCCCCTGCTGATCCCCCTGCTTGTACTTTCTCTAGCTGTCAAATAAATAAATAAAATCTTTAGGAAAAATAAATAAAGGAGCTGGCAACTCATTTATTACTTAATTTTTTAAAATTTAAGTAATTCACATGATCTGAAACTTAAAACCATATCAAAAAACATGCACTGAAGGGCACCTAGGTGGCTCAGTCAATTGAGCAGCATCTGACTTCAGCTCAGGTCATAATCCCGGGGTCCTGGGGTCAAGCCCTGCTTCAGGCTCCCTGCCCCTCCCCCCACTCATGCTCTCTAATAAATAAATAAAAATCATTAAGAAAAAATACAGTGATAAGTCCACACCCTCCTCCACTCTTGACCTCCCCAGCACAGCCAGACATGTGAATAATCAGTCCTATGAATTTTCTGTGTATGTGTCCAAGATTTTTTATGCCAATACAAACAAACATACATTCCTACTTTTTCCACCATTCTGACACAAAAGTAGGTTATTATTCACATTGTACTGTAGCTTCCTATTTTTCACTTAAACATGTATCTTGGAACTCTTTCCATGTCAATGTAAAAAGGGTCTCCATGTTCCTTTATACATCCTGACAATCAATGTTAAACAGAAATCAAAATTGCAGGGGCACCTGGGTGGCTCAGTCAGTTGAGCATCTGACTCTTGATTTTGGCTCGGGTCATGATCTCAGGGTCCTGGGATTGAAGCCCCCAGTCGAGTCGGACTCTGCACTCAGTGTGAAGCCTGTGTAAGATTCTCACGCTTCCTCTGCCTCTCCCCCCACTAAAATAAATAAATAAAGCTGAAGAAGAAGAAGAAGAAGAAGAGGAGGAAGAAGAAGAAGAAGAAATAATAATAATTAAAATTGCAAATCCCAACCATGAAAGTAAGAGGGATTTGTATGAGCCCAGAGGCACTGATAGTGAGCTGTCAGCCCTGGAATTTATTAATCATCTTTTAAATACCTTAAAAAAACAAAACAAAAACAAACTTGAAAGCAGGGAAAATCAACCACAGTTAAAGTACCTGCTTTCATGAGCTATGAAAAACATTCTAGATACTTAAAACCTAATATATTTAAACCATAAATAAAATTCCTGGAGTAGTTTCTTAGAGGAAATAGGTGCAGTACTCATAAAATCAAGGTTCCATATAAAGCTCCTTTACCCATTAAACACCTTTTGGAAACAGTTCACTAGTGAACCCCAGACCAGGGCAGTGATGCATTTAACTCCAGTAATTACTATCCAAAGGGATGGACTTTGTGCTACAATAAAAGCAAGTATCCTCGCTGAGCTATGATCCTGAGATCTCACATCCTGCCCTAATGCAATTAGCCTACAGAGAGCTAATTACCTAATCGAGGGATCACAGTTTCACTGACATCTTACTTCCTCCAACAGTAATAAACACCAGGGCGCTAAGATAGCACCTAATTAGTGAGCTGCATTAGTGTTTACAAGACGGTTTCAGCTGGTGATGTGTTCTCTGCATACAGTTCGGTTCAAAGAATGCTTTCCTAACCAAAAGAAACAGCTCTTTTCATGTTACAGGATAGCATTTTATAAAAACAGGAGACGATTCTTTAGGGTAACATAAATCATCCGACATAACACAGGACATCAAGAGACAGCGCCTGTCAGCAGAATGCCTATATAACGTCAGTCCCTTCGTTCCTCCTAGAACCACTATGTATCTTTGCACCCTGTGAAATATTTGTGCAATTCTCAAGAAACCACTGAACTATTACTCAAATGAGAGAGAGAAAAATAGTTCAACATTATGGTCACACTTACTTACCTCAATGAAATAAGCCACTTATCTAACTTGTATGTTTTGTTTTGTCCCTTTCAAAAGTTTATTCCAAAGTTTTGAGAGGCAAAAATCTCAGGGTGCTAGAGTAAACTGTCGAGGGCGAATGATAAAGAGTCCTGTGGGAAAAAGCCTAAAAGATACGTAACATATTGGTTCTATACACAGGCATGAGACCAATGTTTCAGAAGGCGGCTAGGACTAAACTCCACTCTCATTTCCAAGATACTCCAGAAAAATGAGCTTATTTCATTTAATACATGACAGGCCAGGAAAACGGATTCAAACAGTATCAGTCGGTTTAGAAAAGAAAAACCAACTTTCATTCTCCACGAAGTGCTTGCACAATTGAATATCCTCTATCATATTCTATCAGAAAAGTGGGCAGATAAAACTGCTACAGAGGAAGCCGGAACAAAGCACGGGGGGAGGCACACTGCATCGTTCACGGAGTGCCCAACAACACTTGCCTGACTTTGGGCACCACCATCCGATGCTGCACCATAAGCGTGTGGCCGATCGATGCCATCAGAGTAAAGGCCTCCTCGCTGGCTGAGTCCCTCCACACCAGGTTTAACAGGGTGTTGGTCTGCTGCTTCGTGTCCAACTTCTTCAGACACTCCTCCGTTATGTATGGTACTGAGAGCCTACCATCCTCCTAAAACACACCACATAAATTGCTCTGAGTTAACGACGTTTTATTAGAAATGACCTTCTATACCACACACACACATGAAATCTGATCTTACTTCAAATGAAAATAAAAAGTAGGCATTATCTAAAAGTTACCCACATCACAATGGACAAATCAATAGCTCTCCAAATGCATCCATTAAAGTAATATGAAATTCTCTAGAGTTCCACAGTCACTATCTACATTAGACACCAATTTTATCCAGCATTACCAACACAGGGACTGTAAATACTCAGTTTTTGCCTACTGATGTGACAGTATTTCAGTATTGACATTTTAAGAAAAGTTAATTTCGTATTTTTAGACACCATTGTATTAAGCATACATGGGTGGGAATATATTATCATGTAGCAGAATTTCCATTTTAAATTATTTGGGAGATTACAGTTTAAGCAAAAATAGAATCTTAAATAATTTATTTTTAGAAAAACAAAAGAGATACATTTTATATCTTAATTTCTCTAAAGATCTGATTCACCAAATAAAACCTGAACTAAGACACTATGCATTTACCTATTTGGGGTATTAACCAGAAATACATACTTTTTTCATATATGTATGTATATATCCAAGTATATATAAATATGAATATATATACACAACACTGGGTATTGCTGAATACATTGTTTGGAAACTTAAATGGATATAATTTATGTAACTTATAATAATCTATCAAAACATTGCTTTAGATAAAAGTAATAAATTCTATCTGTCAAACTTGAATCTGTAAATAAGATACACCTAATAAAAGGAGTTAGGAATAGAGTACATTGGTACTATTTTTGTAGTGTACATATTTAAAATAAATTATACACAAATAATAACTAAACTGATTATACAGAAACCTAAGAGTTCATAAACAGTGAAATTTGCCTCTGGAAAATCTCATTCAATCAAATTAAAGTCTACATAATTCTCATAGGAAATAATATATAAGCAGCCATCAAAAGATCAGACCAAAAAATAAAGAAAAGATTTTGAGTCAAATCTGTTGAGTACCTGGCCTACTACTGGGTCACTGGTTCTGAACCCAAAAGTGGACAAGAAAGGAGAGATGATAAACAATGCAAGGGAAAATGAAGAGAAAAAAATGAAAAAGAGAAACAAAAGTACCACGTCATATAATTCTAGTAACACAGACCTTGAAACCCTTGTATATTAAGGAAGAAAAATAAAGTGGAGTAAAATTTCCCAAAAATATAAGTAACAAAATGAAGCTGCACTTTTTTTTTTTTTTTGCAGTTTGTCAAAAAAAATTTTAATGACTTTATGGGATGCCTAGCCCATGCAATGGCTCACACTTCAAAGGCTTACATTTAGAAACTTCAAAATAAAAGTTCTAAGCCATATTCTCCAATAGTCTTATGGGCTTTTTTTTTTTTTTTAAAGATTTTATTTATTTATCTGAGAGAGAGAGAGAATGAGAGACAGAGAGCATGAGAGGGAGGAGGGTCAGAGGGAGAAGCAGACTCCCCGCTGAGCAGGGAGCCCGATGCGGG